ACTTGAGCAGCCATGGATTTTGGTCTGGAACCAAACTTTGCTGGATGCAACTGTATTAATACTAATACTACTAACAATAATAAAAAATAATCCCTCATTGTATATAATAGGAGTTGAGCAGCCATGGAGATTTTGGTCTGGAACCAAACCTCAATGGACACCACTGTATTAATAATAATAATAATAATAATAATAATAATAATAATAATAATAATAATAATAATAATAATAATAATCCATTGTATTTAATGGGGCTTGAGCATCCATGGGGATTTTGACATCCACAGAAGGTCCAGGAACCAAACTCCAGTGGATACCAAGGGCCCATTATAATCACTAACAATGCCAAAGAATAAGCATTTCAACAGACCTATTATATATATATTAAATATATATATTTATTTAATATATATTATTTATTAACAGGCTTACCTCTCCAACCCTGTGGCCTGTAGGTAACGACTATGAAATGTAATGCAGAGGCGCTTTCTTTTGCTTCCTAACCTTGGGACTCCTCTGTGTTTGTTGTGTTCTGACCCAAAGGGATTTATTTCAAGAGGACTTGCCTCTTAGGAAAAGGCGATGGATGCACTGCTTCTCGAATGCGCTTCAGGCCAAGGAAAGAGTGGCTTTGGGCCAGGCTTTGGGCCTTTCTCGCTCTGGCCTTGTTGTGTTGCTATGCCAGCCGGATGGACAACACAAACACAACTGGTGCCCTGGGGGAGATGTGCACCAGGCTGCATGCAGAAAAGACAACACAACGCTCCTGCGAGGTTGGCCCCACTGCCAAAGAGACCTGGAGCAGCAGCAAATTGGGGCAACCGTGTTGGCAGAGGCAGAATTCTGCAACTGGCGATGCAAAAAATAAAATAAAATAAAATAAAATAAAATATTTTTTTAAAGAAAAACCCACCCCAAAATCAGGGTGGCCAGATGTCCTGTCCTACCTGCAAAGGAGGAGAAGGCGCTGCAAAATGGAGGACGGCCAAGAAAAATGGAGGATATGAGCAGGGCTTGATGTGGCGTAGTGGTTTGAATGCTGGACTACAGCTCTGGAGACCAGGGTTCGAATCCCAGCTCGGCCATGGAAACCCACTGGGTGACCTTGGCCAAAGTCACACTCTCTCAGCCTCAGGGGAAGGCAAGGGCAAACCTCCTCTGAACCAATCTTGCCATGAAGACCTTGTGCTAGGTTTGCCTTTGGGTCGCCCTAAATTGGAAACGACTTGAAGGCAGGCACACAACAAGAAGAATAGACACCTTGGACCCGTCGTACCCTGGAGCTAATATTATACTTAATATTTTTTAATAATTTTGTGCGTGAAACAAAGCACGAGAATGCAAAGGTGTCACTCTCTCAGCCATCCAAGGGGGATGTGGATTTTGGAATATTTTGGATTTTGAAGATGGTATGGAAGATGTAGTTTGCTGAGGCACCAGAGCAAAGCGGAGGGAACACAGTGCTAGGTCTGCTCCACATAACAGTTATACCGCTTTCGTACCACTTTAAATGATGCGGTGCCCCTCCTGGGATTTGTAGTTTGGCGAGGCAGCCGGCAGGGCCATGGTAGGGAGCTCTCACCGGGTGCCCTTGGACTGTCACTCCCAGCAGCCCCTTAGGCCCTCTCCTGCTGGGAGTTGCAATCCAAATGGCTCTGGAGGGCTGCAGGATTTCCACTCCCCTGCAAGAGAATTCGAAGTACTCTTTCCCCAAACTACAGATCCCAAGGTTGGCCAAGGGTGGAAGTGGGATCAGAGCTGCAGCAAAAAAAGACACCACCACCCTACAGATTCACCCTGAAGGAAAAGCTGCTGGGGATTCTGGGCTCTGCAATCCAAAACAGACACTCTCCTCCCAGTTTGGGTTGGAGAAATCACCCTGTTTGGCACCGCTTGAACTCTTCCTGGCTCAAGGCTATGGAATTCTGGGAACTGGAGTTTGTTTTGGGCCCATATAACTGCCCTGACTCAAGGCTAAGGAATTCTGGGAATTGATGGCTCCAAGGCTATGGAATTCTGGGAAATGGAGTTTGTTTTGGGCCCCTGACTCAAGGCTAAGGAATTCTGGGAAATGAATTTGTGGTGGGACCCAGTGCTTGAACTCTTCCTGGCTTAAGGCTATGGAATTCTGGGAATTGAAAT